CTAGAATCGCAACGCGTCCACTTCCAATTATTACGACGTGAGCTGTCACATAACTCTCACGTATCGTCGAAACCGCTATCTAAATTGTCACCTTTTATTGATACCGACGCGGTAATACGTGTAGGTGGTCGCCTTAAGCACTCCTTGTTAAATTACGAATGTAAACACCCGGTACTGTTAGCCAAAAACGCACATCTCGCTAGGTTAATAGGTGAACGATGGCATAAGTTAACATGTCACTCGGGACCGCGGGTAATGGCGGCTCTCATTTTGCGACAATATTGGATAATCTCGATACGGTCGGTGCTGCACAGAGTGTTGTCTCGTTGTACGCTATGTGTGCGTTTAAATGCAAAACCAATCCAGCCGTTGATGGCCGACTTGCCGCCTGCGCGCGTTCAGAGGTGTAGACCGTTCGCTCGTGTCGGTATTGATTTCGCCGGCCCGTTGCAGATGCGCGAGCTGGGTCTCCGGAAGTCCCGGATTGTAAAAATTTATATATCAGTATTCGTTTGTTTTACCGTAAAGGCTGTACACCTTGAGGTGGTCACTGATTTGTCGACAAACGCGTTCCTGGCCGCGTTCGACCGTTTTGTCGCTCGACGGGGATTACCTACCGACGTATACACAGATTGCGGTACGAATTTTATCGGGGCCAATAGGCAATTACATGCATTAATTAATAGTTCAAATGGTAAAGTTGCATTAGCAAACTCTCGTGCCACCTGTGAGTGGCATTTTAATCCACCAGGTGCCCCTCATTTTGGGGGCTTGTGGGAGGCGGCTGTTCGCTCAACGAAAAGGTTATTGACCAGGGTTATTGGTGTTCATTTATTCACATACGAAGAATTTACAACGGTGCTGACCCGCATAGAGGCCGTGTTAAACTCACGACCGTTAACTCCCGCGTCCACCGACCCTCAGGACTTAGGGCCATTTCACACAGGACGGTTTCGTCCGTGCGGATTTTATTCGTACGATTTTTCTCCGCACGGACGTTGTTTTCACACAAGACGGTTTTTCCCCCGTGAATCGTCTACGTTTAGTTATATTTTATCTGTTTTAACTCAGTTGGATTTCAACATGAGTCGAAAACGCATCATTGCCATGTGGCTTTTGTACCGTCGTTTGCGATTACGTAGAAAACAACGTGTTCGAAAGTACTGGGTGCACCCAATTAATGAACGAAGAAATGTCATGGGCACATTTAACTCGCTATTTGAAGATTTACTTGCAGATGAAAATAAATTTTTCAACTATTTCCGCATGTCTATTTCATCCTTTGACGAACTCCATAACCGGCTGAAATGTAGTATTCAGCGGCAGAATACTAAAATGAGGGACTGTATTCAACCTAAGGAAATGTTAGCTGTGACACTGAGGTAAGTCAAAATGTTTTTTGTTACAACTCGTTTATTGAATAAAAATAAAATAATAACTTTTACAATAAAAAAACATATTAGTAAGAAAATGAAATATTTCCTAATACAACTCATTTAAAAATAACTTAATAACTTTTACAATAAAAAAACATATTAGTAAGAAAATGAAATATTTCCTAATACAACTCATTTAAAAATAACTTAATAACTTTCCTGTGTAAAAACCATTTTATTAAGAAATAAAAATAATGTTTTAAGCTTCTTGCTTAGGTCAAATTTTAAAACTTTAAAACTTTAAAAATTTAAACGTAAAACATAGATTAAGTCTGGCTGTAATTGGTTGAAAAATCTATTTCACTATAACAGGAAGAACTTGACTGGGCTGGAGATATACTTTGAAATGGTCGATTTAGCGGTGTAATAGTATTTGAATTGGAGGGTTGACCATAGTTTGGGGAACACTGGGTGGCAGTTTGTGGAGATTGATAACTAACAGGCATAATGTAATGGTATGGTTGAGAAGTTGACGCATGTTGTAGAGGAAATGAAGGTAGAGAAACTCATTGTTTTTCATCGTTGATTTGCGAAATGAGTCGTAAAACCCCCATTTGGAACTTCAAAACCTCGTTTTCGTCAAATTTGTCCAATGCTGGCAAAACTCCACGAAAGAAAGATAGATGTCTGTTTGGATTAACATCATTTTCTAAAGCTTTCAGCATCTTCATCTCGATTTCATCAGGCTTACGTTTTTTAGAGCGAGAACCCAAATCTTGACCAGCACGTCTAGTGGGAGTGGCTTGAGTTGAAACTTAATCATCCAAAGTTTTCGACTGTTCGTTAATATCAGTATCAATATCAATATTATTCAGGGTATCATTGTTATCGTTTTCGAAGTTTTCAACTACATCTCGTTCTATATATAATTTTTTTAAAAACAACAGTTGATCATTGTAAACGTATTTTTTGTGTTTGAATGCACCAGAACCGGATTTTTTATTTTCTTTTTCTTTTTTGCAAAACTTAGCAAAGGCATCCCGTACATTAGTCCATCTTCTAATTACTTCTTTACCTATATAATTATAGGAAAACATTTATTAAAAAGGTGGGTAAGTGGATGTCGCTTTGCTGTACTGTAGGTTACAAGTGGGTCACTGTATAATGGATGGTAGTAAATTTGAATTCAATGATATAATATCATTGTATAAGAAAAACGATTCTGAGTGGAGACGGTATGTCAGTCTAGGTATAAGACATATTATATACTTATGTATGGTATTAAAAAAAAATTTACCTATAATAGGTACCTATAATAAATTCCAAATTAATCATATCACAATATCCATTAGGTATTATTACCTAGGCATTATTTCGACTACTTATCGTGTACACAGACACAAAAATAAAAAAATAAATAAAAAAAAAATAAAAAAAATAAAAAAACACACATAATTGTAAAATCAATACATTCATCGTTCCCCTCAGAATCTAAAATAAGTGTTACGATTTAATTTAATTTTATGTTCTACAAAAGTTGATATTAAGGGGGTGTTTTTGAGCAAAAAAATAGGTCGGGAGCAGGCCCCTTAATATAAATATAAACATTAGTTGAACGATATCCCGTAAATATATTTTATTAGCGTTTGAAGTTAGAATTTGTATAAAACTCAACACAATTATATTATATTATATTATATTGTATTTATATTATTAATTTTGCATGTAATGCAGGTTAATAAAACTTAATAATTTTCGTTTTTTAGATATCTTGCAAGTGGATGCACTTTCACAGATCTTCACTATACATATAGAATTGGTATTTCAACAGCAAGCATGATAGTAAAAGAAGTATGCAATGCTATTTGGTCAGTAATGAAATCGGAATTTCTACCCACACCTTCAAAAGAAAACTGGGAAACAATCGCATTGGATTTTGAAAGAAATGCTAATTTTCCCCATTGCATAGGAGCAGTAGATGGGAAGCACATTCGGATAATTTGCCCATCTGGCAGTGGGTCCATGTATTATAACTACAAGCAATATAATTCACTGGTATTGATGGCAATAGCTGATTCAAATTACCGGTTTGTATATGTTAATATTGGAAGTTATGGGAAAGATTGCGATTCTGCTATTTTTAAGCGAAGTGAGATATGGAAATCTATTACAATGGGAACGCACCAGCTTCCAGAACCGAAAGTTCTGCCGGGTACTGATAGTCCTAATGTGCCTTATTTCTTCGTTGGAGACGAAGCCTTCGCATTACACAAACATTTATTACGGCCGTTTGGAGGATCAAACCTCTCAATAGAAAAAAAAATATTCAACTATCGCTTAAGTAGAGCGAGGCGATATATTGAATGTGCATTTGGAATTTTAAGCAATAAGTGGCGAATTTTCCACCGACCAATAAACGTGGAACCAGATTTTGCAGTTGATATCGTCAAGGCTTGTGTTGTTCTGCATAATTTTGTGAGAGAGAGGGACGGAATATTGTTTGAAGATAGTACAACAATTACAGGGTTGGAGGATTTACAACCAGAATATTCATCTCGTGGAGATTTATCAGCAAACAATATACGACAAACATTATGCGACTATTTTGTAAACGTTGGATCAGTCCCGTGGCAAATGTCAAAAGTGTAAATATTTTAAATGTCATAATATTATAATATTTTAATATCATAAATATCATAAGTATTTTAAATTTAAATTAAATTAAATATACTACTCAAAAATAAATAAATATACAAACTCACCAAATTCGTTTTTTTCACTATCTTGTAAGCTGTTGAAATTTGATTTTAGTGCAACACAGACTTCTTCCCAAGCGTTTTTTGTTCCATTCCTATCCCTATACAGTTCTTGGGATTTATCCCATAAGATGGGTCTGCATTCCACAGCAGAGATTAAAATGTCTGTATCGATATCCATGTTTTTTTATTAATTATTTCTAAAAAAATAGACAAAAACTACCTTTGACAACAGACGGTAGACGACTAAAAACCGTGAAGTATGAATACGCGTGTCTAGTCACGTAGGCCACTGATAAGACGGCGACGGCACGGATAAAATTCGCCCACCGTCCCGTGTGAAAGCCACAACTAATTTTATTTGTTTACTGCCAAATAAAATCCGTACGATTAAAATCCGCACGGACAAAACCGTCCTGTGTGAAATGGGCCATACGCTTTCATATTATACGGTCACGGCAAAATTCCGGCGCCGTGCCGTTCAGCTGCCGTCTACTGCCACTACAGTATACGGCAGCCGGACGGCGCGATAAGCTTAGTGGCGTACGTGACCAAATGCACGTTTTCACATTATACGATTTTATTCGTGCGGCAGAGTTCGATCAGTCCCATCAATCTCTTCGAGACACGATTAAACTTAAACTTACAATATATTGACAAAATAATGGCGGAATTCGATGTTGAATTTTTAATTACTCTCGTGCAAGAGAGACCAGTGTTGTGGGACAAAGGTTTAGAACTATACAAAGATAGAAATGCTACAAAAAATGCCTGGCGAGAAGTTTTAATAGAACTTAACCCGGAATTTGATGCTCTTGATGATAAGGAAAAAAACTTGTTTGGTAAGTATATTTTTACTAATACTACAATAATAAAATATTATTTAAAATATAAACTCTTAGTTTATTAAAAAATTGAAATACCGATATAAATTAGTTAATTTGTTATAATATTCACTGGTATTTCAAGTTTATATTTTCGACATTTGCCATGGTAGACTTCCGACGTCAGAAACAAAATATTTACACAATGTATTTCTTATGTTATTTGGTGTAAGGCCTCCTCTTACGTTACTCTCATCAGATATATCTGACAAACCTGTGATTGACATTGTATCCAAATCGTTATATCCATCCCTCTCAAGTACAAAATTATGTAAAACAATGCAAGCATTTACAATTTTGACAGCAAAGTCTGGTTGTACATTAATTGGTAGATGAAATATCCGCCACTTATTTGTGAGGATCCCAAAAGAGCATTCAACAAATCGTCTTGCTCTAGATAGTCGATAGTTAAAAATTCTTTTATCGACTGTCAGATGTGTTCCACCAAAAGGTCTCAGTAAATGTTTATGTAAACCAAATGCTTCGTCTCCAATGAAGAAGTAAGGTAGTTTTGGACTGTCTATTCCGGGCAAAGGTTTTGCTTCTGGCAATTGTTGTTCATTATTTTCTATTGACTTCCACAAACTAGACCTCTTAAACACTGAAGAATCACAGTCTTTACCATAACTCCCAACGTCAGTGTACACAAATCGATATTTGGAATCTGCAACTGCCATGAGAACTATAGAATTATAACCTTTATAATTAAAATACATTGACCCACTGTTAAGTGGGCAAGTTAAACGGATATGTTTGCCATCGACGGCTCCTATGCAGTTCGGAAAATTAGCTCTATTCTCAAATCCAGAAGCAATTAACTCCCATATTTCTTTCGTTGGTGTTGGAATAAAATCATCTCTCATTAGATACCAAATTGCTGTACATACTTCTTCTACTATTTTACTTGCCGTTGAAATTCCTATTCTATAACTGAAATGTAAATCGGTGAATGTACAACCACTTGCAAGATACCTAGAGAAAATTTAAATTATGAATAGCATATAGTATATACAATTATTTTTAGATTCTGAACAGAGCGCTGGATGTATTGATTTTACAATGACGTGGGTGCTTTATTTATTTATTTATTTTTGTGTCTGTCATCACGTTTTGAAATAATACAATTTTTTAAAATTATCAATATTCTTTATTTGAATATTTGATTAATATTTTTTCTTTCAGGTCAAGGAGTTCTTAAAAGATGGACTAATCTTCGCGATTCATTTTCAAAATATTTCAAAAAAGACAAAGAGTCCAAGAGAAGTGGCTCAGGAGCAAAAAAAATAAAGAAATATGTATACTTTGATCAATTGCAGTTTTTACGAAAAATTTATGTTGAGCGACCGACTTCGAATAGCCTGGAACCGGACGCGAGAAACGACCCAGAAAATGAAAAAGATGACATAGAGCCACAACTGCAAGCTTCAAATAATGTTTCAGATATTTCTAGGGAAAAAATAATTAATCCACAAAAAGGAAGGAAAAATAAAAGTCAGAACGACATTGATTTAAGAATTATAAAATTACTTGAAGAAAAGGATCAACCTTGCAATAAAATGGCTTTTTTACAAAGTCTCTTGCCTCACTTGCAACAATTTGATAATCAGGACTATTTACATTTTCAAAAATGTCTGAATGAGGCAAAAGATATGGCCAAATCCTTAAATATTACTTCTGAATTTACCAACAAACATACCTCTGTTGAATCAAAAGACACAGAAAATAAATTTAGAGCTCAATGTTATGAAGCATTAGATTCTATTCTATCCAGTTTATGTTGGAGGTTTGAAAAAATGTCACAAATCGCATCTGATTTTAATTTTTTGTCTGGTAACTTATTATCAACTATGGAGTCTGAAAAAATAAAACTCTGGGTTAATGATTTGGCATTGAAGTATGATCGAGATTTAAATGCTGCAGAGTTGTATTCTGAAATTGAGAATTTCAAATATCAGGCTCCATTATTAATGACAAAATTTGAGAATGCAACTCAGTTAGATATTCTAAAGCATATTCATCAGTACTCTTTAAAATATTTATATCCGAATTTAGAGGTAGCACTACGGATATTTTTAACAATTCCTGTCACTACGGCTTCTTGTGAAAGGAGTTTCAGCAAGCAGAAAATCATAAAAAATTATCTAAGATCAACAATAAGTCAAAATCGTCTCACCGGAATGACTATATTATCTATAGAAAAAGATATAGCGAAGACAATTTCATTTGATGATGTCATTGATCAATTTGCTTCAATTAAATCAAGAGAAGTACCTTTGTAATATTGTGTAAAAATTATATAAAAATAAATTAAAAATTATTAAACACAATATAGTTGTATGTTATTAGTTATTATTACTTGATATATAGGTACTATGTGTTTTTACATGTTTTATATATCTCAAATGTTTTTATAAACTAATGTATATTTTTAATTTGGAGGAGGGGGAGGGGGCGCAAATGCAGTGATTCGCCAGGGGCACCACCAAACCGCAATGCGGCCCTGGCCGCCGCAATTTATCACTGCCGCCGTGTCGAAACCTATGCCCCGGGAATTTTGACCTTACGCCTAAACCTGCCTACCTACGATCTGAGATACCGATAAATGTCAAATCTACCACACTTAAGCTGTTTTTCCACAATAACAAATATTGCATTAGACATTGCTTAACCGATTAAATTCATAAGAATTGTGTGTAATTAAACCGTAAATCACATTTCTATATGATTCTGGTGTGTGTGTGTACTTCAATCCCTATCAATATAATTGTCTATATATAATAGATATATACTTTACTTCATTTGGTTCATGTTTAGACTGTTTGAATGAAATGTATTAAAAGTAACTATAAACTATAATATATGTTATACTAATAACTGTAATCATCAACATGTCAGTAGCATACATTATGCGAATACACTGCAATTTCTGATATATCTTGTTAAAAATTATACTAATATGGACATGATAATGAATTGTGAAGTAGTCATCTATATTATTATGAGTATTAATGTACCACATAACAGAGCATACATTGAACTATATAAAAACAGTTGAACGTTGCTCATTAAAATAAAATCCAGTATAATATTTGTGTTCAACAATTCTCATATCTATAATATTGTAAAGTATATTTATTATGTACTGTCTGTGAGTAAATTCAAACAACAGTAATATGTGTACACCTATTATTAATAATCAAAAATAAACTGTTTATTTGAAGATAAATGTAATTAGACCCAGAATTTAGAGTTGTTTTTGTGCGTTAAGCTCAGTTACAGCTGTACTGTCAGTATGACTGAACGTATAGACATTATAAATAACACATATCGTTCAAGCATTTAGGCGCGTCAGACGGTTAATAATTACGAACATCTCTTCAATATCAACGATACACACAATGCTACAGTATGACCATATATTATTATCAATTGATTCGGGTGGGTTGGTGGATTGATGACGTGAGGGGGACAAATTTGCGTTGTCTCTTTGTCATATTTTGGCAGCCTAGAAGGTTTTACAATGTTGATCCTGGGTTGTTTTGAATTTGAATTTTAAGAACCATCGCAGGAAGCGAGTTTGATCCCCCCGGGCTAATGTATTATGTACTTTAATAGGCTTTTGCCTAGACAATTCTCATTTATAGCTGCCCACCACTGTGTCCGCATACCTGACATGCCGCGTCCCACATTGTCCGTTATCCGACAAAGATGACTAAGTTAAACGTGAATCGATTTCCAATGGACGTGACTGACTTGCTGGACATTGAAATAAATCTTTAAGTCCTGATATCGGTATTCACTTTCAGCGAATAGCGCAGAGGCCTTCATTACTGACGGAGCGAGTTACACCTAGAGACCAATGCAGGCAGGCCCATATCGTCGGCTATGCGATACAGTCGGATGACTTACTTAGATGTCTAAATTTTATTTTAATCGATTTTCACCTTGACGTGACTGACTTGCTAGACACACAAGCTTTTGGTTTCACGTTTCCTAAACAAGACTGGATGGTCTGCATGTATCGAACCAGTTTAACCGCTAATTTCTAGAGCCTCCAACTCGACTTTCAAGCGTTCCCGCCTTTGAAACGACACCTCGAAAGCGCCTCATCACAAATCCTTATCACCTTCTCTGACATTTTCTCGCCAACCTACAATCGCGACTTTTGTAGTTTCAACTACTCAGTCTCCGCAATCGGTAGCCACTTTCAGCTGACACGGGGGGTTTGTTTTTGCATTTCCCGTTTTTTCACTAACATCTAGCATGCGACGGGTCATGCATCCAATCCGCCATACAAACATGCCCCATAACTCATAGATTTGCATAGAGCGATGATTGATGGCTAGACATTCGATTACAATTATTCGCAATTTCTAATATTTCTTAAGCAGTACCGGGCATACAGCGGGGCACGGTATTACACCAGACGAGCACCAAAGACTCCACACTCCAATTCACAGTTTTCGGCACGTTTTAATTTTTTTTTGAAATCCCTGTGAAACGATTTTTACTCGAGCAACTCGAAGGCGCCGGAGGGGGCTTCCACAACGCCCGGAATCGATTTACACGGGCAGCTAACACGGGGGGTCTGGGGGTACTCAAGATGCACCACCGCCCACACAGTCTTTCCACCGGAGGCGCAATGTCAAACGCCGGAATCTGGTCTTCTCTTATATTATAAAACGCTAAGCAGTTGAGGTTTTACTCCCTAGGTCTTTTCTGAGCGCGTCCAATCGAAAAATTAGATTTTCTTATATTTATATGTAGAATATCTTTTTTCGATAAAAATCCAATCGGATCGCCGCCGCCGCTGCTATCACGTTTCTGTTATCACGACCGCGGATTTCAATCGAATATTAGTATTTTTTCGAAATCCGTCAAAATTTTGGCTTCGTTACCGGGTTTTTTCCGATTTTGACCCTTTTTGAGCTCCGTCTGTATGTAATTCGCGTTCACCGAAAAGTCTTAAGTCCGTGCGTGTTCGGGTTTCGTTCGTATTCAGTCCGCGGCGGTCGCAATCTCGATCGAAAACTGTGCCGCCCGCTCGCCCTACATCGCACGTATTTCTCTCTTTTTTCGTTTTTTCTCGAACGGTTTCGCCTTTTCGTACACCGTTTGTGCCCGAATCGCGTAGTTAACTTCTTTTAAAAGACGTACGTGTGCAGTTTTCACTCGAAATCGATTCGTACGCTTCGCAATCGCGTTAAGAAACCTAACCTTCTTTACATGTATATGTACATATCCAATGCGATATTTGTGAAGAAGTCAACGTATACCATTCAAATTTTGATTATTTCAAAATGTAGAATGTATGGTAGGTAATTTATTTGATATGATCGTAGTTTATACTATAACGGTTCTGTATAACGTGTTTCAGGTGATCGGTCGTAAGCGATGACGTTTGTTTCCACGCACAACATGGATTTACTACCTATGTTCACTGTTTTTTTTTTTTTTTAATAAAAATCAAACCATAATACTATATTCATTGTTTTGTCCTTGGTATTCATAATACAATAACCTTTATCCATAATATACCTAAATTTAAGCTGGACATTACTGGATCAAAGACGTTTGAATAGTATAGTGTATTGCAATACTTTGTTAAGAATGACTAGGGGTAAACAAATAGCTATTTAGTCACACCACGAGTGGCATAATATGTATTTGTTATTATTGAATATTTAATTAAGCACACAAATAGTGTAATTATTCAATGCAATATAAGTACACAATTGTATAGCGTATATTATATTATGATAAGTTGTGGATATTTTATTTGTTAAGAGTTTATTAATGGTAGTTAAATAAATTAATATTACAAGTGTTAGGTACACAAATTGTCTAACGTTTATGAGAATTAAATTAAATTTGTGAGATTTCATTGATTTGAACAGCCATTTATTTACATGTAAACGGCAATTTATAATTTATTTTCATATATTTACTTAACTTGCATAGTATTCAATATACGTGGTATATTAAAATAGGTAACCATTATGCTAGGATAAAATACTGTAATTTATTTTGCAAGTAGTACTAGGCATTTAATGAGTAATGTTCAATTGTAAATGGCTTAGCGTTGATGCTATAATAATAATATAAATAGGCACCTATATTAAATTGTACAGAATATGAGCATATTGCATTATTAAATGTATACACATTAAATAAATAAATAAAATATATTTTATTTACATTTTATTTGCATACACAGAACAAAACAATACGATATAAAGATGTACTAAATGTATATACGAATGTGTAAGTTATTAAAAAATTATATTATTTTTAAACGATACACATCAGAAATTTTATAAGTATGCTATTGACATAACTATAGTTAACTTTATCAATTACATTTAATATCAATCTTCAGATCGCGACATCAGTATTCATTTTTTTTTTGAATAAATTACATTTAAATAGTGTATAAATACCTAATAGGGTACAATATTTATAAAAATATTGGTAGGAAAAATGGTATGCACATAACGAAAACGTTGTATATGCAATTTAATGTATGATTACACACAATTCATACAATTTAATATGTTATTGAATATGTAATGCAGTATTCTTCATAATGGATAAATAGCTTCAGTCCTGTAGATTTAGCAATGCTTTCCATCGCATTCTGTAGGTCGGTCGGTTAGGCGTAGGTTCCCCAAACGTAGGTAGTTGATAGACTAGGGTTCGAGACCGGCGTCAGCTATAACTGGTGCCCGCGCTTAACAAGGCCTTACCTGTTGATTATACACCTGAAATTTTTCCTTTTTTTTTTTCAATTTTCTTCACGAACTTTTTTATTTCTTATTATTTTGTTTGAACTTATACTTTTACTTTTGTGTTATGATACACCATATCTCATTTTTATGCACATGTTTTTTTTTTAGTAAAATTGTTTTGTGTTATTATTATATCTTACATTTGATTATAAGTATCGGACGACGCGGACGCCGTTTCGAGTGGACGGCGACGTGGCTTAAGAGTCGTAGATTTGATACCGGTTGTCATCTCGATAGGTGGTTAGGTAGGTGTCGGCATAGGACAAACGATTCGGGGTCGTGGGTTCGATCCCGTCCCTCGGCGGTATCGATAAGGTTAGGTAGATTAGGTGGCCGTGATAATTCGAACTTTTTTTTTTTGTCTTTTCGCTATCGGTTCCGTCTTATCATATTTAACGAATTTGCTCCGATATTTTTCAAAATTCGAGTTTTACCGCCTTTATCATGGACCTCCCCGTCCAAGACTTATTCGCGTTACCTTAATAGATACC